GGTGGTGGGGGGTTTGTTGATTAAAGGAGGTGGTGGGAGAGAGAGGGCGAGGCAGTGACAAGCTGGCTCTTCTTTGTTAGGTAGACTAAAAAAAAAGTATGGGCGACATATAAGGAGAAGGTATGCTTGTATGGTACTGGTATGTATCTTGGCGAAGATAATGTATTAAGAAGCAAAGGAGGAGGGTGTTGGAGATTTTCGCTGCTGCTGCTGCTGTTGTTGTTAACGACGTCCGTCCGTGTTTCTTCACGACGACGGGAACTATTGTCGTGTTTTGGAGCTGGACGCCCGAGTCAAAACAACAATAAAGAAAGCAGGGTGGCATCCAGAGGAGAGAGGGGGGGCGGGGGGGAGGGGGAAGCCACCAAAAAAGAACAAACAGCTGAATTTTCGACGAAGACTTGCTGCTGTTCTTGTTGCCCAAGGGAGCACGGCACAACCGCGAGTGTTCGTTTTCGTATCAAGGTTAGGGGGCACATGCAATGCTATGTAGTGCGATGAGGGAGCTGGGGGAAGGAAGAAGCAAGAGAAGAGCTATTATTTACTATATATTTCATCGACCACATCTATCTCTGTTCTTCTTCTCGTCATGATGAGCACGGAGCACGGCGGCTCAACAACAAGAACAAACTCTTCTTCGCGTTTTGTGCTTGTGGAGATCTCAAATAAACGCCGTCTGTACTTTTTGGTGGACGTGTGTGGTTGTATTGTGTTTTACTCTACATGATGTATGCACATATGCACATGTGTACTATTGCATCTGCTATCATAATATACAGATGCGCCCAACCAAAAAGATGACGATGATGATGATGAGCAGGCACGAGTATTTTTTCACTGTTTTTATTTTATTTTTTCGGACAACAAGCAAAACCCTCGCAATCCACTACGCATGAGCATCGGCGGGGATTATTTGACGGTGGCGTGTTCCTCGCTCGCTCGTGGCAACGCATGGCAATATAGATAGGCATGTGTTTTTCTCTTGCGTACACCCGTCCGTGCAGCGTGCAGCAGACCAAACAACCAACAACGAGAGGTGACGCGATTTCAGCGAAACACACACCCATGACCGCATGAATTACTAAATGAGGATTATTAGAGGGGGGGGGGGGGGGGGGGATACCCCCCCCCAACCGGCCAAAAATGGAAAATCCACCCAAAAACCCACCCCCCCCAAACAAGCCAAAAACCCCGAACGGCGCTGTGTGCCCCACCCTTTGCCCCCCCCCTGCAAGGGAATTTCCGGGTCTGGGGGTCTGCCAACCCACCCAATTCCAGTGAAAAACCAGGGGGGAGGGGGGGAAAAAAAAATTGATAGGGACCTTTCCCGCGGGGCGTTTGTTTTTGGGGGGGAAACCCGGAGCCCAAAATCTCCACGCGGGGGCCAAAAAACCCAAAAATGCAAAAAACCCCGGAAAATTTTCCCCTGCCCCCCGACCGATTTTTGTAGCGGGGGCCCCCCAAATCAAGGACCCTCCCCCGGAACCCCTTGGGCTTTCTGGCCCCCGGGCCATTGTGTGGAAAGAACCCC